ATCTCGAGAGAGACGGAAAAATGGACGACGGATTATTATTACTGCTCGCCTATGGCTAATAATGCAGAAATGACACTTCATAAAGGACGATAAATAATAGGATATTGTGCTATAGTTAGTTACAAACTGCGCCGCGCGCCGATTTTTTCGCGCTCACCTACTGACCCGCGCGTTCGCGCCAGACAGAGAAATAGAGACAATAAGAGCTGCGAGGCTGCGATTAATTACATATGCACAAGTATGCGCGAGCGTCATTAACTCTCGCTTATGCCAATATATTTCAGAAAAGAGTTTCTCCGGGTTTAACAAATGCTCGGCAATTTTTTTTTCACTGCGAGTGCTTGATGAGCCAGCCATAAGTATGTGTGCTTATGGCATAAACGAGCGACGAGTCACAGTTTTGTCTTTTTATTTATTTATTTTTTTCTACGTCGAGACCATACGCACGATATGAATTGTGTTCCGGTTGTGTGTCTGTGTGTTGCGTCGCTGCTGCTGCTGTCCAACTGCGAGGAAACGACATACTTTGGAAGGTGGCCTGTGTTGCTGCTTGCCGATCCATCATCGTTATTATAACGAGTAAAGGATGCATACAGAAAGGAGATTAGGCCGAAATCGCCATTTGTCGACGACGTTGAGTCCGCGAATGAGGTTCGTGAACAACGAGCGACTCGAATAATTTATTCGAGCTCGAATCGAGCAAAACTTGAAAAATCGGTTACCAGCGCAACACGTAAATTACGTCAAGTGCAGGTGTGCCATCGAATCGTATTTGAAAAATCTCGAGTTTTAAATTTTATAAATTATAAATTATAAATATTGCGATGTGAACATAGTTTAAAAGTATCAAGTATTTTGTCAAACATGATTGACAAAGAAAAATATTTTTACACTTCTCGGGGTTAAATTGTGTTTCAATTATATTTTTTACGATTCGCAAAATATTACTTAATACGTTTAGACATGGTCTATTTACGAGCAGCTTCAAAAAAATTTAATAAATGGAAGTTTTTTCCTCGGTCAAACATTGACATCACAAATTTAATTTATGCATCGCAAAAATAATAGTATATATACTTCAATGTATTCATGATAGTACTCATATATTTCTTTGAATTATTATTTTACTACCGTATACAGTTTCAAAGACCAATTGAATTTTATTTTTGATGTAACGCGTGTGATCCTGCTGTATCGGTTTGTAAGCAGAATTTGCTTAGTTTTAACGATATAGGACATATCTCAGTAGATAACTGCGTAGGGCTGATCGACGGTAGAGGGAGCGCCAATTAACTTATTACAATCGCGGGAGCAACGAATCAATGACTCGCTTATGGTCGATTCCTCAGTTAAAGTGTTTACAAATAGTATCCGTGAAAGTACATTTTTCTATACCAAAAATCGAGAGCAACAGTATTGGCTACTCGTAGCGCTTTAACCTCGAATATTTTTTCGGTGTATTTCATGAAAATTCCCACAGTGAATATCAATAATTGAGCGAGCGATGGAAAGCAAAAAGGACACAGCTAGGTATAACATTTTTTTTAGCGTTCGTGATCTTTTTTTAAACTTGATCGTTACTTACAGGGTGAAGGTAGAGCCATCCGATACTCGACCGGTTGCAGATGACTATGATAATTTCGTTTCGTTGAACTCCAGCGACATCAAAAACTTTGAAACATTCGCGTTTTATGAAGAATCAGTGAGTTCAATGATTTTGAAATATTTTCTAACTTTCCTCGAACAAAAACTATTACCCGGATTTGATTCTAGGCAAAAAACGTGAACGAGGTTATGGCATTACAGCAAAAGATCAATGAAAATGTATCCATTGAATTTGAGTGCATAGATGTTAAACTTGAACTGCCACATCCGTCGACAAGCATCTGCAAATCCGAGAATCAAAATCTTCGAGCTATCGTAAAAATGGAAAACGAATATGAGACCAATGACATCGATGAAAATATATTCATAGATATCGAGTTCAAATATGCCAAAGCTGAACTGACGCCTCTGTCGACCACCATGTGCAAAACTGAGAATCAAAGTTGTCCATTGATTGCGAAAGTAGAGAGTCAAGTTCAGTCCGATCACTTAAACGATAAAGATGAAATAATTACGATTGGAAAACAATTAGATCCTGATAATGAAAATCACCTTCTAGTTAATAACCGATTGAAATATGCCGAATCCGAGGAGGTGCGAGCATTAGAAAAAAAACCACAAAGCAACTTATTTCCCGAGCGTAATGAATGTCAAGAAACCAGTAGAGGAGAAGAAAGATCAACGCCAATAAACAATAAACCACATAAATGTGACGTTTTCCACGAAATATTTGAATGCTGGAATAAACTTGAAGATCATATGGATGTAGCACATGGTCTAAAAAACCCCTATAAATGTGAAATCTGTCAAAAATCATTTAAACAAAAATCTGCTCGCGAAACTCACAAGAAAAAACTTCATAATAGTAACCATTCCTTTGAATGCGATATCTGTCACAAATCATTTGGATTCAAGGCTCACCTCAATAAACACACACAATCAGTTCACGAGTATAGGAAACTTATCGAATGTAACATTTGTAGCAAGTCATTTGGAAAAAAAAGTCATCTTAATGCTCACATAAGTACAGTTCATGCTCGTGTCAAACCCTTCGAATGTGAGATTTGTTATAAATCATTTGGATACAAGAGTAATCTAAATAACCACTTGAATATAGTACATGATCGTATCAAACCCTTTGAATGTGAGATTTGCCACAAATCATTTGGACTAAAACATCACCGGAATTCTCACATAAATTTAGTACATAATCGTGTCAAACCCTTCGAATGTGATATTTGTCATAAGTCATTTGGCCGCAAGGATTGCCTTAAATCTCACTTAAATGCAGTACATGATCGCAGAAAGCCTTTCGAATGCGAGATTTGCCACAAATCATTTGGACTAAAAAGTAACCTTAAAAAACATATAAGTGCAGTACATAATCGGAGCAAACCCTTTGAATGTGAGATTTGCCACAAATCATTTGGACAAAAACAACACCTCAAAACTCATATAACTGCAGTACATATTCGTAGCAAACCCTTCTAGTGTGATATTTGTCACAAATCATTTGGATACAAAAGTTACCTTAAAACCCACATAAGTTCAGTACATCAACGTAGCAAACCCTTTGAATGTAAAATTTGTGATAAATCATTTGGATACCAACATCGCTTAAATTATCACATTGATGCAGCACATAATCGTAGCAAACCTTTTGAATGTGAGATTCGCCTAAAATCATTTGGATACAAATGTACTCTAAAATCTCATATGAATACAGTACGTGATCGGAGTAGACCCTTTGAATGTGATATTTGTCTTAAATCATTTGGATACAAGCATGCACTCAAAAACCATTTTTTGAAAGTACATAATCAAAGCAAACCAATTTGAATGTGACATTTGTCGCAGACCATTTCAAAGTAAGAATTACCTTCATAATCACATAAATGCAGTACATAATCTTAGCAAACCTTTCTAATTTAAAATTCGTCACAAATCATTTTCAGATAAGAGTTTTATTAATGAGCAAAGAAAAACAATACATAATTGAATTTAATGCTAGAAGTTTAAGATTTTTCACAAATTATTCGGTTAGAAACAAATCGTAAAAAATCACGCGACTCCAACCACTTTGTATATCCTACGACTGTAAAATTTGTCGCGAATCATTCAAAAACCAAAGTACGATTGAAACTAAAATAAATGCGACACATATCTATATCATACGAATATGAGATTTGTTTCGAATGGGTGTGGATGCAATAAAGACTTCCACATTCACACCGGTATGTATACGCACTGCATAATTTTATAAAATGTATCATATAAATATCTCAATTTTTCTAAGAAGAATAAAGTATTTCAATTAACTAGTATCTATTTTTTTTTCATGACTAGAAAAAAACCCTTTTATCAAAATTCTATAAGTAAACTTAAATAATGACAAGATTTCGTTTTCATCCGAATTTTTTCCGACTCGAGCTCGTCGAGACGGGTAAAACTCAATAAATTGGTTACTCGCCCAGTTCCCAATCCCCGAAGAATACCCTCCGCAAGAACATGACTAATTAATGGTGCCACCGATCGATTCTCTCGATTTCAAACGAACGCATATGTACCCTAGCTCGCAGAGATTTCATTGGAAATTAGCCTGTGCCTGTAGATACATCTCCGTCTCGCGTATCTAACGGCACTCGTGTAATTTCAGATTTTTAAAAACACGATTTCAAGTATCTGAAAATACCTTCGCCTTGAAAAAAAGCGACCTTGTAAAAGCAAAAAAGAAAAACAGTAGTGGCGCGCGCGTAGACGCAATCGATCGATCGATCCGCATTGTTGTAAACGACTTTGCCGATGCTACTTTCCTTCGAATTTTCGTCCCATCGCCGTGGTTAAAGATAATGTATCGTGTACGTACATCCACGCGCGCGCGAAAGAGATTATCATCTCGTGTAACGGCTTAATAGCATCACGAATCGGGGGCCTAAATATATATGCGCCGGCAATTCACGTCCTGCAAACACACACACATATACTGTAATGCTTTCGTACGAAGCCTGGAAAACTCATTAAGCTCGCCGATCTTCATCGGCGTATATATATTTCTACGTAAAGAAAAAAGTCTGCCGATTCATTAAGTCTCTCTTATATACTTAGGCGGGGTCGTGGGTTCACCGAAAGTCTTACATATAATATATTCTCCAGGCGACGACGAGCGAGAGCTGCTCCTGCTGGTGTATATATAGTAAAAGGAAAGTTTTCCCGCGCGTGCGTGAGAAAAGCGATGCCCGGTCGCCGATAGCGTGACCGGTATATATATAATACGGACACTGTACACGGCTTAACTTTACCGATCTCTAAGTTTGATTCGGACGAGAAAAAATGGCATAAATGTGTGTCGAGAAACGAAATTCTAATTTTAATCTCTTTTTCTATTCTCGTTGCAGACTGCACGGCTCGTACGAGGCGCTCAAGTACGGCACTCTGCTCGACGGCCTGTCCGACCTCACGGGCGGCATCACCGAGGTGATCGCCATCCGCCAGGATCCCACGGGCTGCGGTCGCGCGCTCGCCAAGCTCCTCGACATGACCTCCCTCGTCACCTGCACCGTCAACAACAACGTCACCCAGCTGCTCAGGCCCACGGAGAAGCTGGCCAACGGCATCCAGATGGGCATCAATTATCGCCTGTACGCGATCGAGCGCGTCGAGACGTTCCAGGGCGAGCCCGTGCAGCTGGTGAAATTGCGCGATCCGCTGGGCACGGCGGGCGGCGAGTACGTCGGCGCCTGGGCCAGGGGCTCGCTCGAGTGGGACGAGGTGCCCGTCGCCGAGTGCGATCGACTCGGCGTCCGGGCCATGTGCGACGGCGAATTCTGGATCTCGTACTCGGACTTCGTCAAGACGTTCACGCATCTGGAGGTGGTGCATCTGGACGCGGAGACGGCCCGCGACGAGCCTTCGCTCCACGGCAAGCGCACCTGGCAGATGAAGCTGTTCCACGGCAGTTGGCGCAGAGGAGTCACGGCGGGCGGCTGTCGCAACAATCAGGAGACGTTCCACATCAATCCGCAGCTGCATCTGGCCCTGGCCGATCTCTGCGAGGAGATCGTCGTCTCCCTCCACCAGCACTCGATCCTCGAGCCCAAGGTCATCGGGTTCACGGCCTACTCGATGCCGAAGAACAGCAGCGAGTCGATCGAGGGCGCCTTCTTCAAGCAGAACAAGTCCCTCATCAATTCGCAGTACACCAACAGTCGCCAGGTGAGTCACAGGTGTCAGCTGCAGCAGGGCGGCTATCTCATCGTGCCCACGACCTTCGAGCCGGCCCAAGAGACCAACTTCACCCTGAGGGTGTACAGCAGCAAACCGCTGAAGCTCAAACTGCTGGACACGCCGCCGGTGCTGCTGAAGTCGGCCATAGTCAAGGCGCCGCCGCTCGAGGGCAAGGGTTTCTCCCAGTACGAGGCGGTGTTTCTGCAGCTCGCGGACGAGCACAGGACCGTCAACGCGTTCGAGCTGCAGGAGCTCTTGGAGGCTTGTCTGCCCAATGGTGAGTGTGCATATATAGGTGCAATAAATTGCGCTTTTTTTAATTAACGTGACGATTTCAATTTTCATCTTTCTTCAGATTACATCAAGAGCTGCGCCTGTATGGACGTGTGCAGGCAGGTCGTGCTCACGATGGACGTAAGTATATGCTTGCCATTTTTTTTTTATTCTATTTTCACAATTATTAACGTTGGCTTTCTTTATTCGCAGAGCACCGGAAACGGTAGGCTGAAGTTCAGCGACTTCAAGGATCTCATGTGCAGCCTGAGGTATTGGCAGGGGGCCTTCAAGAATCACACGAAAGAAAAGACCGGCATACTGAAGGCCGAAAGATTGCGCGACGCCCTCCACGAAGTCGGTAAGTATCTGCTCTTTACTCTTGATTTTCTCCGAGGTACGAATATGAATCTGATATCTCAATTTTCTCATATTTTTATCAAGGTTTCCAATTGAGCACCGACGTACTCTCCATTGTGATTCTCCGATATATGAGGAAGGACGGCACGCTGAGATTCGGCGACTTCGTCGCTGCGATTCTACATCTCAACGATGCCTTCGGTTTGTATAAGTCATCAATTTTTCAAAAATTTCCACTCAATTCATTTGAATGGTTGTGCTTGAGCATTTTTTTCATTGCCTTTTTCAGCGATATTCGAAAGTAAAGATCCTCTACTGAACGGAACCATAAAATTGAGCCTGACCGAGGTAAATTCAATTATACACCGTTAACTTTATTTACTCATATGGAAAAATTCGTCTGATTCAATGTTTCTCTTCTTTGCAGTGGCTACGAGCATCGATGATGTGTTAATTTGTTATTTAATTATAAAAAAAACTGTTGTAATTTTTATTTTATAGACAAAAAAGAAAAGAATAATCGCCTTGTAAATAAAAGTAGCGTAAATTACACTAAATCTTCTTAAAGTATAAATAACACGATATAACATTTTATAGAAAAAAAAAGAAAAAATCAGCTGAGAAAACGTTAGCCATACTAATTGCTTATTTAGTTTTACCCATTTTTGTAATATATAATCGTCTCAGCGTCAATTTTACTATACGATGTACGTCCTTCCCGCCTTGCTCTCTTTATAATTAACAAAAATTATTATCTTTATTTAAACGTTAATGTTGCGTAATTTTTATGTATAAAATCTCGAGTATTGTATCGCGTACAATTATATGATATTATAAATATTAATATAGATAATAAAATAAGTACGTTTTTATTAAAAATCATCTTCAATTCATTATTTTATAAAACTCAGAGGAAACGTTTCTATACGAGAGCCCACTAAATCCCAAATTGTATCCAAAATAAAAGGAAAAGCATTTTTAATTAGATAAACAATTTTTTTAGAAATTCAACACGTTTATTCACACATAATTCACGTGAAATGAAAAGTTTAATAATTAAGAAATTATCAATTTGTCAATTTGATAATATTAAGGCAACACAAGTAATAATGTTTTACATTCATACAATGCATTCTACATCAAACATAAGTTCATTATATGTAAATATAAAAAAAGAGTCATCACATTTAAATGCTTAATCACTACTGATAAAGTAATAACTTATATACTATCTGTCATGAGAAATAAATAAACATAGAGCCCGTTATAATGTATATACATAATGGCTTCAAGTTTTAAATCTCTTCGAATTTTTGGGAGTATTGGGTTATTCTCTAAACAAGAGGATAACTGGCAGAAGAAGCGATACCGCAGTGATTATCCTTGTTACGTGCCATCTTGATGTAACCTTTGTCTCCCCAAGTAGTGCCCCAACTGTTCTTGACCAGCCAGTAGTCGGTACCATTGTGATCAGTACCATAACCAACAACAAGTACACCATGATCTAGTTCAGTCGATGAACACTCTGGCTCGTAGTATACACCTAAAAGTGTTTGTAATTTTTGTTATAAGAATAGTTTTTCAAATTTGAGTAATTTATCTGTTCTGAATATTTAATGAAAAAACAAACCTTCAGAGTACAGTTGGAATGTTTCATGCGAAGCATCAATGGCAACAGAGACAGGTCCAATAGTGGCAAGAGCAGCCATCAGTTTATGCTCATCTCCCTCAGGAATGTCAACAAAGCCAACATCCTCAGCACCAGAGTTGCGAGGAGAGTAGCGGCACTCATCATCCATGGCTTCGTACTGATAACTTTGTTCAGTATCAATACCTTTGTTGTCTCTGATGTATTTGAAGGCATTGTCCATAAGACCACCGTTGCAACCATTGTTTCCGTATTTGCCAGAACAATCAATCAAATTTTGTTCACTAAGTGAAACAAGTTTACCAGTTTGTCTGTAATGTTGAGCTTCAAGAGCGCCAGTCTGTAAATAATTAAATACACTTTCAATGACAACAATTTTCAAAATGAATTAAACTATAGCATAAAAATAAATGTACAAACCGCTGAGAAAGACCAGCAAGAACCACAGTGTCCTTGATCTTTAACTTCAGTAACTGCTCCTTCTTTTCTCCAGTCAACATGCTTGGGCAGCTCAACGTGAGCAGGAGTGACAAACTTAGCTCCAACTGGCTTTTGATAGCTTCGGAGCATTCCCGGCTTGGTCTTGTTGAAGCCATTCAAAGTGTTAACAAACTCATGATGAAGCATATCAGAGTATTTGTTAAGTTTCAGTTTGTAGGAAACTAAGCCTTGCTCATATTTGGCATTATGTTTGGCAATTTTATGTTTGTTCTCCATGAATATTTTCATTCTGAATTTTTCTTCAATATCTGAACCGTAGCCCTTTCTATGCTCGGCCTGTAACAATAAAGGCATATTAGTATGTTTATACTCCTTGTTATGTTCAGCCTGAAAAAATAATGACAAATTAGTAAGATGAATATGGCTCATACTTAAAAAAATGTAAGCATACAATAGTGGTCAACAAATACCAAGTGAATGTTATACAAGCTATGCATATCTGCATGCAAAACAGTTTTTCTTACCTTGAAAACTCTCCATTCCTCTTGGACAAGATCTACAAATGAGACGGCTTGTGCAACAGCAGCAAGCGCTACCAAAAGCAGCACGAATATTGACTTCATTTTCTACTGGTTATCTGCAAAAGAAAATCAAATTTGAATTAAAAAAATTGAAATCATCTCCTAACAATAATTGTCTCATAAAATGATTCATTTCAACGTTTCGACTCAGCTATGATCAGCAAAATAAAGTATATAGATTCGCGTACATAATCGTCTGAATGAAATTTCAAACGACGCAGTTACCAAAGATTTTGCAATTCACGCCCATACAGATAGAGACATGCATAGAAAACAAACATCGCAGCAAAAAAAAAATCTATAGATCAAGTGCTGCACGTGCATATTATTACTGCGCGAGATAACATTGAAAAATCGCTTGCTCCACATTATATCTCTATCTCGCGAGCTCATGATAATTACGCACTCTTGTGTGTACATAGATGAGGCGATGGGGGAAATACAAGTATAAGGAGAGCACAAAGAAACTGTACATTATAAGCCACGGCGCGATGATCCAACTCTCCTGCTGAGCTGTGTAAAAAGGAAGTGTACACGTCTCTGTCTCTCATCGTGATAATCGCGTTTTTCTTTGTCTTATATTCTCTGCGGTTACTAGTGTCCAAGGCAATACGATATAACAGTAAAAAAAAGTCGGAATAGTCCAACGACAAAAACGTAAACAAATCTTCGACGCGTGAGTTATTACAAATGATAATCTCCGTTAGGATTGCATCAGAATTTTGCGATGAATTCTCGACGAGCTTTAGAACGGCGATGACAGTTGTCAAGGACGATAATCGATAAGCCCGAGATTATAATGCAGAGGCTTCCATCGCGCGACACGACGCACGACTTTTATAAAATCGCTTTTCAACGCTACGACGACGACGACGGCGCAATTACCATTACGTTGCATCTACGAAAAATTTTCACGCGCACTTGCTCGCGAATGGTTTATACATTTTTTTAGACAAAATAGCCAACAATCACTTACCTCGATGAACAAAATGTAGAGAAGAAAAAATTGAACGGCTACGCCAACAAAGTTTTGGGTTTTGTAAACAGTGAAATGGAATCCTGCTGCAGGTCGAGCTCGTGCGTAACGGACTTAACCCGACGACTCGACACACGCGACTGGCAAAACAACGACTGGCGAGGCTGCCTTTATGTGTTTACGTTCTCCCTCCAGCAGTATAGCCAGTGCCTGTGTGCGACTGTGTACTCCCGCAGCTGCGCAGCCTATATACACGATATAGGTATATCTATATTTCATGCAGGCAACACGCATATGACGATGGAATGGAAACGGACTACTGTGGTGCAGTGTTGCCAATTCCCGTAAACACACACACACACGAGCACATACAATAGAGACGATTGAACTGAAGAATAAAGAGCGATATACACGATGTTTTGGTCTGTTTTGGAAAGAATCCTGACGAGATGGGAAAGTCCCAGATATTATTACTTTTTTTTTATTATGGTCTCGAGTAGCAGCGCCAACTGACAGATGTTGTTTTCAAATGTGTATGTATATAAGAGGCCTTTTAATGGTCACGAGGGCTCGATTAATTGGGATTTCTTTGTCTCTTCCTCGAGAGTTTATTTTATCGCGGGTTCGGGTAACTTTTTTAATTGACCATCTGCTTCTGCCTCTGTTTACAAATTATTAAATCGTTCGTATTTATACCGAGAAATAGGGTGGTTTGATACAAGAAAATTTTGCAGAGCGATCGAAACGCTGTCGTTTGATACAATAGACAAGAATCGTCTCGCTGCGATCAAATCCAATTATTGTTAATGAGAATTAACTCTTTTGTATCGATATTACAGGCAGAACGTCAGTATGTCAAATTTTCGCACAGCAAACACCTACTCATCCACAGACACTCATCGCGCTCGAGTTCAGCATAAATATTCTGACTAATTCTTTCACGCGGCATTACAAATAATAATGATGCGATAATAGTTTAATGTTCGGCGATAAAATAATTCGTCATTCGTTAAAAATCTTTTTTGCAAATTTTCACACACGTGCACAATTCGACTGAAGCTTGGAATCACCGCACACACGAATTATTCGATATTTCGTGCGCCGATACTCATCGTTTTGTACTTTATCAAAATGCACATGCAAGCAACAATGAAAATCTTTTGGACGGACAATGGAAACTCGATGATGCTCTCGCATAAAAAAAAAACGTATAATCTCGACTCTATATACTCGTGTTTTTATTTTTATTGCATCATCCCGCCGATGTGTACGCTTCTCTCTCCTGTGTTTGTGTACGAAATTTCGCGCGTCCCAATCTTACGCAACGTCTGCTTTGATTTTTTTTTCTTTCAAATTTCCATAATACAACTTTCGTTTACCGCAATTCTCGAACACGGAGCTCTGACAAAGCTAAAGACTCCGGACTTACCGTTGATTTTTTTCCAAATTCTCTATTACAGAGAAAAATAGTCACAAAATTGGTCATTCGCTGGGTCATGGGTTAATACAGTCCGTTTGTAATGGTCCATTTAAATCGAAGCCAATTTCGAGATGTGTCACGTGCAGTGCGTTGACACGAATACATGTCACGAGTGCACGTAGACTTGGACTTAACGGCGCAGAAAGCTAACGATCGGCGATAGTCTCGCGCGTGGCGTATTCATAATTTTTCTTACGAATTGCATCAACGCGCACAAGCCGATAAACAGGCCATAGTCCGATCGGAGACACTTCCCGCAACAAATATCGTAATCTTCGCCGCCGAGCTTATTAATACGAAGACGCGCATACATCATCGTGGAAGAAAAAAATTAATAATAGCAATAAGCTTCGTCTTGACGAAGCGCACAATCACGTGCCTCGAAAGATCGCGGCGGTCCACACACGCACGCTGAGCAAAAAAAATTCACCGCAACTATATGATATACTCTTCTCTGGTCGTATGACTCGGCGCGGAGATCGTTGTGTTATTTTTTACGCATGGCCTCGTATCATCTCCCGCTTCGTGTGTCAGCCGCGACTCGTTGGAGGAAAAACGATATCCCTCTATATGCTACGGCAGTCTCGGTCGTACGGAGCTTTTAATAAACTTTGATATACACAACGTCGAGCAATAAATGGCCCGCATTGTATATGTATAGGCACATAGATATGGGAGGTGTGGATTCTCGTTGTTATGTCTCGGATATACAATTCTCGTTTTTTATTTGGCTTCCAACGGTTCATCACGTTGATCAATATTCATATACTAAACATAATATTTACATATAGAGCATCCAAAAATAAATAAACAGTTAATGAAATATCAAAAATATCAAAAATGATATATGGCAATGTACGATCGCGGGGTTCAACCGACCAGCGGATAAGTGGCCTCGGTCGCTATGCCGCAGTGGTTCTTGTCGTCGCGCTTGATCCTGAAGTAGCCCGACTCGCCCCAGGCGGTGCCCCAGCTGTTCTTCACGAGCCAGTAGTCGCCGTGTCTGGGATCGCTGCCGTAGCCGACGATCAGCACGGCGTGATCGAGGGCTTCGGTGCACTCCGACTCGAAGAATACTCCTGCGATAGTGAAGGAAAAAAATGATAAGAGGAAACCGCGAGAGAGAAAAATTGTACTGAATTTTCAGAAAATACACGGAAATAAGTGCCTAATGACCAAAACATGATCATTGAAACATTTTGGAAATGCATTATCATTCATTTTTTGCTTTTGGCGATTTTTCTGTTAAAATTATGATATAAATATTAGGGCGGAACGAAAAAACACTTTTGACGCCGATCGCTTTGTAATAGTATTTTATCGAAAGTTTAAGATAAAAAAAGAGAAAAGCCGCGAGCTGGGCGCGAACAAATGATGTCTTCAGGTGGCGCATGAAGCCTGAAGTTTGAAATTCGTAAAAACAATATCTTTATGCTTCAGTATGAAATCGTTACCAAATTTTTCTGCACTGGATTGGCCGATTGGGCTGAAAGTTTCAGGGCTTGTTTTACATGTTGAAAGGAGTTTCTCTGTAAAATTTTAGCCCTCTAGGTGCCTTAGAAGCAAAGATATAGTCATAGGAAGGTTGAAAAATTACGTTACATTAATTTTTTTTTGTTCTTTTTCCATCTTCACACAGCTGTACGTTGCGTAATTTTGCTGCTATTAAAACGAACGAGTAACCAATTTCTTCGTCTTTTAAAGGCCTTTTCAACCATATAAATTTGTATAGTGTTTTTTAAATTTTTACTGAAGTTACAGTATAAAACGTCCAACATTTTGTGTCGCGCTCGAAACTACAATTGTTATTTTTTTTTCTGTTTCTTAAAAGTTACACATTCTAGACAAACTTGAACCCCAATGATAGTTATATGGCCTTAAAGAGCATAAAATTTCCTTTAATTTGGTGTATTTAAAAACTCTCTAGGTCCTCTAGAACCAAAGATACAGCTGTTTGAAGTTTTACTGAAAATGTAAGATTCGATTGTGTGATGATCATACCATATCTGGCCTATGATAGATTCACAGATTCAGTACTTTCATTTTTGGTAAAACTTCAAACAGCTGTATCTTTGGTTCTAGAGGACCTAGAGAGTTTTTAAATACACCAAATTAAAGGAAATTTTATGCTCTTTAAGGCCATATAACTATCATTGGGGTTCAAGTTTGTCTAGAATGTGTAACTTTTAAGAAACAGAAAAAAAAATAACAATTGTAGTTTCGAGCGCGACACAAAATGTTGGACGTTTTATACTGTAACTTCAGTAAAAATTTAAAAAACACTATACAAATTTATATGGTTGAAAAGGCCTTTAAAAGACGAAGAAATTGGTTACTCGTTCGTTTTAATAGCAGCAAAATTACGCAACGTACAGCTGTGTGAAGATGGAAAAAGAACAAAAAAAAATTAATGTAACGTAATTTTTCAACCTTCCTATGACTATATCTTTGCTTCTAAGGCACCTAGAGGGCTAAAATTTTACAGAGAAACTCCTTTCAACATGTAAAACAAGCCCTGAAACTTTCAGCCCAATCGGCCAATCCAGTGCAGAAAAATTTGGTAACGATTTCATACTGAAGCATAAAGATATTGTTTTTACGAATTTCAAACTTCAGGCTTCATGCGCCACCTGAAGACATCATTTGTTCGCGCCCAGCTCGCGGCTTTTCTCTTTTTTTATCTTAAACTTTCGATAAAATACTATTACAAAGCGATCGGCGTCAAAAGTGTTTTTTCGTTCCGCCCTATTAAATATTAAGCGCATTTTAAGTGAACTGAAGAAAATTGCAGTTTCAAATCATTTGAAAAATATGCAAAAAACTATTAAGAAAAGAAAAAAAAATTAGACCAGTTTTGAAACACTTTCAACACGGGTAATATCACTTTAATTCTCCAACAATAGATGGCGAGTATACCCCATGTGTAAATCTGCAAGTGGCAAAGTAAATATAATTGTATAACTCGAACACTTTTCAAACAATTGATCATGTGAAACGAAAAATCGTGCCTCATCTCCGAGTGCTCGTATCGATAGTACAAGTTAGATTTGAAAGAGACTCCCCGGATTATTTCAGAATTTGACAACAGATATGCACGTTTATTTCAAACGGTCAGTTCGAGACAGTACACGAATGTAATTCGAGATACGTCGCCGGTTTTAATGAAAATGTGCACGAAGATCTGAAATAAACCGAATTAAATGAATAATTATCAATCGATTTTATTGTTATTTTTTGAAACAGCTTTCAATGTATTGACAAAAAGCTTTCGCTTAAAATGACTCAGAGTAGCAAATTTTCATTGTTTCTATTTCAAAAAAAGATGAATAAAAGGTTTTTCACAATTACGACAAAATCAATAAAAGTTTGATATATTTTATTGTTCTTTAAGAAATCAGAAGATTCTTTAAAATATTGCAGCGTAATCTAAATAAATCTCACATTCGAAAAGTTTGCTTTCTATATGTACTGCATTAATGTGCCTTTTCAGTACACTCTTGTGTCCAAATGACTTGTGAAAGGTAACGCATTCGAAGGATTCGCTCCCATTATGTACTGCATTTAATTGTACATTAAGATGGCCTTTGTGTGCAAATGATTTGTGACAAATTCTATAAATAATCTTATTTAGCGATGCTGTCAAATTTTTGCATCACCTGTTTCAATTTCAAAAATAGCCTAGCCAGGGCACCTAGCAATCCTGCAATGAATAGGAAAATTCATGTTTTTAGTTTAACTAAAACTAAAGGATTCTGCCAGTGCTACCAGTATTAAAAATTTTTTTTCAAACTGAACTAGTCTACTGTACATATAAATATCGATTCCAATGCATTATTGATGAGTTGATAGCCAAATAGAATCGCCGATGAGAAGAGAATTATGATCTTGTGATTGTCAATAGAAAAATTAAACCTCATTTTTTATATGTATATTTATTTACTTGATAAAGCAACATCGTACATAGAAAAAATGATGGCAAGCATGATTATTGTCGCGAGCTTCGACCCGCAGCCGCCAGACAAATGTTAAACAAATCCTTGTTCCTCAGAGTACGGATGATCCTTTCAGAGCACTCGGTAGGCAGTCGGTAATGTATCAATTGCATAAAAGGATCCAGGGCCCAGTCGCAGAAAAATTTCGCCAATACTTTTTCGCACAGGCGCGAATAACAAGCCTCCATAGACTTGCGGGGGATCTTACGCAATTTGTACGAGCTTGCGGACTTGTAGTCGTCCATATACGTAGGATTTTTCGCCATCTCTTCGAATAATGCATGGACCAAATCATCGACATCCTTAGTGGTAGAAAAATCCGTACTTTCGTACAATCCGTACTTGTCGAAAAATCCCATGAGCTTCAGGGCGTCGTCTCGGCCCATTTCGTAGCCTCGCGTCTCGAGCAGCTCGACGGTGGCCAGCAGGCCAGTTGCAGCAGTCAGTTTAAATACAGAACAATCTCTGCCAAGATTATTGTTACCCTGACGATTCTTGCCCCAGTACCTATCAGAGTGACTCGGGGTCGGAAAAACGAAGCCGGACAGGTCGGCGCCACGATCCAGAAGACTCTTGACGGCCATCGGCAAACAACTCGCCGCGGCCCATTCCAGCGCTGTTCGGCCCGAATCGTCCCGGGCGTCGATCTCCACCATCCGCTGCCCTTCTCTGTGCGTACTTAAAAACATCCTAATCATGTCGCCGTTGACGTCTCTCGTGGCAATGAGATGCAGAGGTGGCAGTCCTTCCGCATTGGCCAAACAGGGATCGGCGCCTCGTCTCAGCAGCGACTCGACCATCGTCGCATCTCCGCACGAAATAGCTAAGTGCAACGGTGTGTTGCCCTCGTTGTCCTGGGCATCGATCTGCACCGTCTTCTCGAACTCGTCGATGAACTCGAAGAATTGCCGTAACAAGTAAATTTTCCAGTCGCTCTGGCAAATGACGTGCAGAGGAGTCTGTCCTTTCGCATTGGCCAAATTTGGACTCGCACCTCGTCTCAGCAGCTCTTGGACAGTCTGTTCATTATTGCCGTTCTTCAGAGCCAAATGCAACGGTGTGTCACCCCATTTATCTTGGGCGTCGATCAGCACCGTCTGCTGGACTTGGTCGACGCTCTCGAGTAGCATCGAGATCATGGAGTGAGTAGTATTCCTGCGATTTTGACAAATAACGTGTAAAGGAGTCCGTCCGTCCTTGTTGGTCTGATTCGGATCGGCGCCATATTTCAGCAGCAATTGCATAATCGGTTCTCTAGGATACCCGCAGTTTGTAGCTGCAACAAAGTACAGCATCGAATCACCTGTTTCTGGTACGAGGCAATTGGGATCCTGCCCGAGCTCGAGAAATTTCTTCGCCACGTCGTCCAGGCCATACTTGCAGGCTATGTAGAAATGTGTGTAGCCTGACTCGTCGGTATAATTTGCGTGGAATTTGTCGTAAATTGCGAATAATTTTATCAACACTACGCTTTTCCTCGAGTTGCATTCGTCTATCTGGTGTACTGCTGTGGTACGACGGAACAGTGGCTTACCGTCTTCGTCCAAGTCGGGTTCGTCTTTGTAGCCGCTACGAATAACGAACTCAAACATTTCTTGATGCAGATCAAAACTTTTGATGCACTCCATGATAATCCAATCCATCTCTTGCTCTGTAAAAATAACGCGAAGATTTGGAAGTTGTTCCTTCCAATCTTTTATTAAGAGTCGAAATTCATGGACAAGTAAGTTTCGATGGTTTTCAAACATCCAAAAGAAAGCTTCAGGTAACCTCTTCAATTTTTCTAATTTTGGATGCTCTACGTGTTTGTCGACTGCGTCAACTCCACCTTGGCACCTTTCGCCGAATATGTTATTCGACGAAGACATTATATAATTCGAACACTAATACACGACGCACAAACACTGATTATTTCTTTTAAAAATCACTCGCTAAAGTATATGAGACTTTGCTGCTCACACTGCGACGTTGCAATTTGTACCGACTTTAGACATGCACTATGATCTATAACCTACAATTTATAATCTATAAAGAGAGTAAAAAACACATGGTCGAAGCTACTATGAGAGCTATGGGCAGAGGCGACTTGAAACTCGCTGGACTTTCACTTGTACGGCGTACGCGCTTGCGCAGAGCAAGAGAGACAGAGCTTCATGACAATGCAGATAGGTCACTGTGGACTGATGCATTTCAAATTCCTTTGCAGAGAAGAGGGCTTTCGTTCTGCTTTGAGGATAGAACTGTCATACGGAGAACTTGAGAAAATAATTACAAATAGATAAGCTGCATGCTTTTTAAAATGGATTATGCCTATACCTCACTTAATGTACGTAACAATTTTATTTGACATCGTGTCTATATTGCTTGCTTGATGATTCTCATGGACCTATTCCCTTTAAATATTACAAGGGACTCTATGGAGCTAACAACGGTTGCAAAAAAATTTTCACAAAAATCTGAAATTGAGCTTCAACTTATATTATTATTTTGAATTAGCCACTTGCAGATTTACAGTTTAAAGGTAGTCGCCATCTAGTGTCGGAAGCTCAAAGTGGTGTCGCTTTATAAGCGGTATAGTCAACTGATCTACATTTTTTGAAACCATTAAATTGTTATTTTATAGCCGTTTAATATTCATAATATAACTGTATCTTCAAAAAAATTTCAAATGGTCATTTTTCGTTTCATCGGGCCATCATTGACGTAACGAGCACGTCTCTGAGGGCAGAGTTACATTTATTTATATTAATTTAATCGTACCTTCGGAATAGAACCTGAAGCTGTTGTGCAGCGCGTCGATGGCCGAGGCGATGGGGCCCGCGGTCGCCACCGCGTGTCTCAAATACACCTCCGGCACGAGGACGTAGCTCGGTTGGGTGTCCGCGACCGTTTCCTCTTTGGTCGTCGTTGTCATCGTCGTGGTCGCGTTGGTGGTGAAATTGACCCTGGCCTCGGGCGGACAGTCCTCCGAGTGGCCCAAGTACGGCCGAGCCTCGGCCGTCTCGAGGCCCTCCGCGCGACGATCCAGCACGACGTACTGATAGGACAGGGTGGCGCTGCCGCCGCGACAGCCCGAGTTGCCGTAGACCGTGGTGCAGTCGAGGAGCGTCTGGGCGCTCAGCTGCGTCAGTTCGCCGGTCTGCACGTAGTACTGGCCCTCCAAAGCTCCAGCCTATACATTACACGACGATCTTTATAATTTTTTTTTTTTTTTTTGTTTTCTATGATAGCAATGTGCTTAATTCGTTCCAACTCACGGCCGCGAAAGCCCAACAGGAGCCGCAGTCGAGGCCTTGATTCTGCACCGGCGTCACGGCGAAGGGCCGCCAATCGACGCTGTTGCCGACGGCCGACTCCCAGTCCGGGCCGAACGACGTCGCGTTGTACTTGAGTCCGACCAATGGTCGCTTGATGTCGGGTTCGACCGTCGTCGCGTTGTCCGAGCGCATGTGCGCCTTGTACTCGGCGAACGTCTAGATGTTACATCAAAAATCGGCATCATTTTCCGGTCCAATACATTCGTAACTCGTTCAACAAAGTCGGTATGATATAATTACCAAATCGCCAAATTGATTGATCTTGAGTCCAAAGCTGAGCTCGCCCTTTCGGTACTTGGCATTGTGCTCGTCGATCTCTCGCTTGTTATCGGCCAGTATCGATCTTCTCGATTTCTCCTCCAGCTCGCTGGAGTACGTTTTGTTGTATCGTTGCTAGAATAATTCACAAACACCCGGAAATAAGTGTACAATACCGATCTGAATTAAAAAAGGTCAACAAAGTCGAGTGCGTCGCGTGAATCATATTTAAACATAGAACACAGCGAAAGATAAATTGTCAAATAAGAGCTCGATGCACTTGTTTTCTTCGTGAAATTACTCACTCCGAGCATTTACGCAGGATTTTCAGCTGATACGTCGCGTTTTTATCATGGAATGAGAAAAAATAAAAAGAAAATAATTGCGGAGTCGGCAGTTTGTTCATAAATGCTTAAAAAAAAAGGAGTTTGATATAGATCGATCGCGGCTTGCGTTTCACATATGAGTGATTCTGACTAACTTTTAAAATAACGCCTAAAAAAATTTTTGATGAAAAATTTAGCGGCACAGTATCCGGAATGAATTTTTCTTGAATATTATCAACAAAGAATCCCAAAAATAACTTTGGGCTTTATTTTCCTCCATAGTCCATTTGGGAAACCCGATTTAAATGTGGGTCAAAATAAAACTTCTTCAAATTTTCGAATGACACCGATCTAGATGCGCTTTTGATATGTTATAGTACATGGTAAAAAAATCCTAAAGCCAAAATTTTACTCCCCATCCCCCCCTCCTACCCCCTCCACCCCTATAAACGTCCATTCTTTATTTATATTCATTCTGAAGCCCTGAAGTAATTAAAAAATCTGAAAAAATTCATAATAGTACATATCAACAAAACTAAGCACCTTGAATTTCTTCAGATTTTTCGAGGGCTTCAGGCCTTCAGATAAAATAATTAAAAATTTGGAAAATTTATATACGGCGATACGAGCCAATATCAAACTCGAAAATTTTTTTCTCTGTTTTATGCATTGAAAAACATGACCTTAAATTTCTTTGGATTTTTTCAAGTTTCCTTATGCACTTTTTGAAGCGAAAAAACCCCTTTTTCTTTCATGTGTTTTCATGTGACATTACTTATATCATCCCGCACATAATTATCTACGTAGGCGAATTGCGTAGTCATTATAAATGAATTAAATGTAAAATTTTTTTTTTACGGCCTTGCCCTTGATGATATAGCAAAATTTTTTAAATAAAAAAAGAAAGTGTGTGAAAAAAAATTATTTGTTGAATAATTTATTTATTCATGATAAGAAAAAAATTTTTCATGAAAAAAAATATATTTATAAAAATTTTTCATGAAAAAAAAAATTTTTTATAAAAATTGTTTATAAATTTCCCATGAAAAAAATTTTTTTTATAAATTAATTAATTTATTCATAGTAGAAAAAAATTTCATGAAAAAAAAATTTTTTTCAAAAATTTTTAAGTGATTAACGCAGGATTATCGAATGTTCAATCCAGCGTACAATTCTTATTAAATAAGGGACAGAGTTCTGGTTGGGCTCATTTTGTTCGTCTTTTCCAGCCCTTTTTAAACATGTATACAGATATAAAAAAAAACAATAGTCCATTGTAAAAAATGAAAATGTATAAAAAAAGCTAAAAGTTCAAATAATCCAGTACGCGCGGAAAACATTCTGGGAAATTTCCAATTTAGGAGGATCAAGTTCAGGTCACAAATTTTTCTAAAGTATGTGAATAAAGGAAGGTAACATGATAATTTCAGATCATTTGGTTAATAGTCCATTTTTTAAGAAGCTATCGAAAATTTATTTTATTCGCAGTACGTTTTTTGACTCAAGAGTAAAATCGATTTTCAAACGTGCGATACAAAAAGGACGGGCCACCAAAACGCTCAAAAATAAAAGTGTAGATCTCTCAAGTCTTCTTAAAGACCCTGATAAAATTTCAGAACTGTGCATGGTAAATTACCTGACTTACACATCAGTACGTGCAATTTTAAAAGTTAGTCAGAAACACTCATATACGATGTGTCACTTTATATCAGCTTCAATTGAGAACTCTATTTATATATATAAAAGCGAGGCATTAGTGCGCAGCTAGGCACTCTTTATTTAGGCTATATGCGGCGCGCGCGCGCGCGATCGGTGCTACCGACCAATTACTCATTGGTGAAAAGCATTAAAATAATCTACAGCGGATAAAATTAAAAATGAACGAGTGTCTGATTGTGCTCTTACTTTGAAATCGTTCCAAACTTCATCGGAAATGACATTTTCGGAAGAAACCGCAGAAATCGTTATCGCAGTAGTCGTTTCCTGAACAGCAGTCGGAGACGCCGAGACTCGTGAAATCATCATCAACGTCGGAACTACGACGACTCCCAGAAAAATAAATCTCCGATACATGACTAAAAAAAAAGTCGACTACACGCGCAAAAAATCGATCGACGATCTTCGGCTACGAAAATCGGCACACTCGACGGGGCACACCGCACGACGCGTACACGAGAGAGACGGATTACATTATAACGATTTTATTAGAAGAGAGAAGACTCGGCACCGTTTATCTCCCCGTTCGATCGTTTGTGTGTGTGCGGCGCGCGCGTAGCCCACAACGTGCCTCGTATCGTGATCAAATATTATACGCCTATCTCGCATGTCTAGTGCCACTGTGCAAGGCGCGAGATGTGTGTATTCGGTAAGTACGTGTACAGGAAATCGTTTGCGATCGATCGAAGCAGATTAAACCGGTTAAACGGTTATTTTTTGATTTTGTTTTCATTGCGATCGGTTATGGTTTACCGCTATCTCGCGATGATTGTAAAAATAGTCGAGACTTTGCTGAACATTAAATTCGAATTTCTAATGCAGAATACAAAATGATTCGTTCACAACTGCGGCGTGCATAATATATAGGGGAGTGCGCGAAGATAAATGCGCATTGCGCCCCTATGGCTACTTATGCACGCCATGACTCGATGCAACAATTTTGCCACTTGATGTAGTAGTCGGAGATATTTCGCGGCGTGGCCCGCCTGTAGTAAGCCCGTCTGCTAGACCGCGACGACGAATGAGGCTGACGTGGAATGAGGTTAGATTCGTCGCACTGTTGTTATATACACAGCAGCAGCACAGCACATCATCATCATCGTCAAGCGCGTCAAAGCATTTTTAAAAAAGGAAAGACAGACCAGCGCAGCTGTTGTTGTCATTTCGAAAAGTCGAGACTGAAAATTGGGATCAAAGAGTTGTAATTTGTTTAATCGTAGTGCCGTGCGGCGGACTATAATCTGTCAATATGTTCGAAATTACGGATACACAGAGTGGGTAGACGTTTTCTTATACACACAAGTGTCATTGATATTAGCATTATCGTGACAACTTTTTTGCAACGATGTCAAAGTGCATCAGTGATCGAGAGTTATTTTATACATTTTTTCAGAGATCGGCGTTGGCCTGGCAGGATTTGGAATATCGTTTCTCTTTCTTGGCATATTACTGTTCTTCGATAAGGGACTCTTAGCCATAGGAAATGTAAAATCATCAACTATCATTGCAATCCAATGGCCATCACGCATATCATTACATGCTGTTTTTCTTCTTCGCAGATCCTTTTCATATCTGGTCTTGGGTGCGTGATCGGACCAAAGAGAACTTTCTTCTTTTTCTTTCAAAGACACAAGTTCAGAGGTAGTATTGCATTCCTGGGAGGAATAGCGATTGTACTCTTTGGTTGGCCACTCATAGGAATGTTATTCGAGGTGTACGGCTTTTTTGTTCTCTTCAGGTACATTGTTTACTCGTTTTAACAATTTTTAATACACAAGGAAAATAATGCAATTTTTAAATCAAAACAAGATTGAATTGTTGATCGCTGAAAATTTTTCATTTACAGTGGATTTTTGCCAGTAGCGATCAACTTCTTGAGAAGAGTTCCAGTTCTTGGCACTTTTTTAAATATGCCTGGTCTTAGCAGAATTTTGGACATGATAGCTGGAGACTCGAACCGAACCAGAGTCTGACCCGATTGTTCCCATTGTGCCACAATTCAATTGTAAATACACATTTTGTCTTCATAAGTACTTGTCCCAATGGATTTGTTTCTTATAATCTTCATGCCTTGGTTGAAAAACTATGTAAATGAGTGTGTAAGTTTAATGGGAGATTTTTTCTAGATTTTCAAGTATCATCGCTTTTGGTGATAATTATACATATAGGATAAGTGTTATATTGTGTAAGCAATTCATTTTTGTAAACTATTTGAATGTTTCTCGAGTGCATCATTATTTGATGCATGAAACAGCTACATGCCTAATTGTCATTCCAAGATAACTTATGACTGAAATATATTGATTACAATTATATGAAAGTAAATTTGTTTTGTTATCAATTAAAAAAAGGTTGATCTACCCCTACCAATGGAATCAATTGAGTGAAATGGTTTTATACATAGTAATGCTGAGTAAAGGTAAAAAGGATAAAATGAGAAAATTCAAAGTAATTATTTTGTTTTAATTTCGCTTTTTATTGATCTGTCATTCCTGCATACATCCTAACATGAACAGATTAGATGCATACATTTATTTAGTCTGCATGAGTTCGCGCATTCTTCCGTTATCTCATACACGTATAGAATGGTTGTCTCGCACAAAAAAATCTTTTCCTTCGAAAAATTGCGTGTTATTATTCAGCGAAATCCAGGCTTTTGTCACATATCTGCGCCAATTTGAGATGCAGCACAATCGAGCGTGTGAATCATATATGATACAAAACGCACACGCGCGCGTACACACATCCCGCATACATGCGCAATCCCAAGCAATCATTTTTAAAATTTTTTTCTTTTTTAATCAATTATCTACAATGGGCCGAAAAAACAGAGTTTATCTTATATCATTTTGTTGAAGATGTTTGTAACAATATAAGGGCGGGGACGGCCCATGTCTACGCGCCCCGCCATCGTCGTTCCGTTGATCCACATTTATTTCATTATACCCTTTTCATTCGTCTGTTTTGAAATTTTCTTCGTTTTCATAGTGTTTTCTTTTTTTACTTGAAAGAGTCATAAATGTAATTATATGGTTTGATCTTGTTTGTCGCGCGTCCATTTTTGTCATTATAATATTTTTCATCGACTATTTTCTCTCGCTCGCATAATTAATTTTTTGCTATTTTTTTATAATTCAAAACATTGTGTGTGCGACACACATTGTCTTAATAATTATTAAATAATGCGCATGCAATTGTTCGATTTGCAGATGTTAAGTTTTTTTTTATTCTCTCAACTATTGACCCCTGTGCACGCAATGAAAATTCAACTAGAATATAATTATGCGGATAATACACGACGCGATCGAACGGGAAGATCGATTGGGCGAACGCGCGGCGCTCGTTCAATTCGATCTGAACAAATTAAATAGCGACGTGATTATCTCATTAATTGATTTAATACAAGAAAAAAAGAAAAGAGCCGCGAGGAAAATTTTTTTTCAATAATCCGCAAACGTTAACGAACGCTGAAACGCGTTCAACGTCGACGGAAAATTTTTCCTCGCTACCTGTACTTTTCTATTTTTCTTTTACATTGGGATGTGCCTAACTGATTTACTAAAATAATTAATAAATCAATTCTAGTGTTTATTATACCGTGCGCACATAATTACGTATGCTGTCAGAAAGGAATAGCTTATAGAAGTCGAACGAATTGGCAAGGAGGATAAGTGATGTCGAAACTTGGTAGCGCTTTTTGATGAATGAATACTGAATCCGGTAATAATTCAATGCCGAGGTTCACGATGTCTAACATGATAGAGGATTGTTTGTTGAAAATTTTTTGGTGAACATTTTACCGTTCGCTACCGTAAACGTAAGAACATTACATAATCCTCGCTCACCGGTTAATAATTTCGTTTGATGAGTTTTCAACAACACCCGCGAGTGTGTGTGTTCATTTAATGAAATTTTTTCCTAGTACGAGCGAGTGTGTGAATGCCTTAATTAATCTTTTTTTTTTGGCTTTTCGAAAAGCTTGCTTTTTTTTAGATAATTTTTTCGACATTTTTTTTTTTGGTTTTGTTTAATATTTTTTTCTGTATTTTATTTCGTTAGTTTAGTTTACACAGTTAATTAACCGGAGATAGTGAATGTGTTTTGAAAGAGGTATTTTTACGTCAGGGTTTTGGAATTATATTTTGATGAGTCACGCAAATGAAAATCAAATGTGGGTGGGGCAGTTTTTTTCGCATCGATTTTATATAATTATTTTAAACTTTTATACATTTATATATAAGACCGTCAGTAAAAGTACAGAATGTGACGCGTTCAGACCGTTTTTTTCTATTTTTTTTTCCTTTTAATACGAAAAAGTTGTTGCAAAAAGTCATGATCGCGTTGACTTCAAATTCTTCGCACCTCTACACAACGTTTTTATAATTTTATTTCCTAGAGAACTGTATTTTCTGTTGTAATAATATTGTTTAGTAGATGTTGTAGTTGTTCATTATGTTGTTGTTGTTGTTGTTTTTTAGCTGTTGTTGTTGCTTGATTGTTGAGTGCGATTTGATGAATTTACAGAACTTTCTTGATCTCGTCATAGAGTACGAGCACAAGAGCACCACCGGTACCACGGAGTACGTTGGAGAAGGCACCCTTGAAGAATGCCCCCGTACCTTCGGTGGCGGCGATCGTCTTCCAGCAGTGGAGTGTGCTCTTGTACAAGATGTCGCCCTTGGCGCGGCCAGACTGCATCATCATACGCCTACGCACCGTATCGAATGGATAAGAGACGATACCAGCGACGGTAGTAACGACCTGCAAGACAGAAGGAAAAAAGTGTGGTGAGTATTGGCGGTTCTTGTCAAAGAGTTAACAGCTCAAGAGAATGGCTTGAGAGAGATAATTACCTGCGCGATACCCCACGAAATGAGGAATGGAGTCTTCTTGGGGTCTGGGAGCATGCCACGGGCTGTGTCATAGAAACCGAAGTAAGCGGCACGGTAGATGATGATACCCTGGACGGATACACCGAAGCCCTTGTAGAGACCTCCGAGACCGTCAGACTTGAAGATCTTGGTCAAGCAGTTTCCAAGACCAGTGAACTCACGCTCAGCTCCGGCTTTGCCGACATCAGCTGCCAATCTGTTTCGAGAAAAATAATTCGTCAGCAATCTCGTTTGGAACGAATAGTAATGTTACAATATTGAACGTGATCTCTTACCTGGTTCTGGCAAAGTCAAGTGGGTAGACAAAGCACAGAGAGGTAGCACCGGCGGCACCACCAGATGCCAAGTTACCCAAGAAGTAACGGCCGAACTGGGTGTTCTTGTCGACTCCACCAAGGAAGACCTGCTTGTACTTGTCCTTGAAGGCGAAGTTCAAAGCCTGGGTTGGGAAGTAACGGATGACGTTGGCGAAGTTACCGCGCCAGAAGCTGGTGAAACCCTGTTCCTTGGGGATACGGACGAAGCAATCGACCATACCTATTTACCAAACAAGAAAAAAATGTTTATTAGTCGACGTTTAAATGTTGGATAATAGTTGAGCATATTACATGATTCAAATTATCCGCGAGAAGAATGTGAAATTTCTTCTCCCTTATTTTTTTTGTACCGCAACGCGTCGTTTTTCACCCGATGCATTTCATTTCGTTTATAACTGTGACGCATGTACACATACGTCTCCTCCTCTCCGTGACGTCATTCCAACGCTTGCAGCAGCTAACACACACATGCTCGCGAACTCACTTACAGTCACACATTCATATACGAGGAGTTTGCCGAGCAAATGATTTTTTTTCTCGCGACGTTTCATTAATTTCACGCTCGATCGATCTATCGAGGATCACTTTCTCTCGTCGTAATTATTACACGCAAATTGATTGTTCTTTACTACTGTTTGATCGAGTATTGCATAAATCATCGAGGTCTGAATACACGCATTTACACGCGTCGTAGTCTTTCCATTATCAGCGCGACGCGAAGATTGTCGTCGTCTTGTCGTTGCGCAGATCAAGATTCGCGATAAGCTCGTGCGAGATCGGAAAGACGTCAAATCGTTTCTTTTCTTTTTTTTTCTTTTTTTTTTATAACAAAATTACACGAGCTTCGCGTGTTTGCGTATGAAATTTTCATCTACACAGTCAGCGACGGTTCAGCATTGAGACGTCTTCAAGGAGTTTTGAGACTTTAAAATAAATTCGACTCTGTCTCTCTTTTAGATGCGGTTTATACAGTTGCATAACGAACGACAGGTAGATACATATATCGTATCTGTCGATCGACCGATTTCCTCGCGGTTCATCCCTGCGCACATTCCTTCTCAATCGGGCTCGGCTGCTCTCGATCACTTTTTCGTAATCGATCGAATTCATAGATGACATTATCATCGGAGACCCCCGACGAGGCCCTGGAAACCGGCCAAATTGTATGATCTTGGAACGATGCACCTGCATACTCGAGCAATTAACGCACTCTAGTGCACCAACACACATATCGAGAACACAAGATGATATTAAAGTTCGTCGTCTGCGCGTGCGCGAAGTAGCCAACCGCCAGTAGTATAGCTAGCCAAGGTCACGGTCTAACCCAATCATCGCCATCGTAGCAGCAGCACTACGTAAGCCTAGACCATGTAACCGCCCGCGTGCATGAAGTGCAGAAAAGCGACCAACACACATACATACGACTCATTGATCCATAATCATGTGTGTGTGTGTGTGTGTGTGGAGCTTTGACATGCGTAAAAATAATTAAAGAGCCGAAGCAGAAGCGGAAGTAATTGGTCATTTATAAAAAAAATTTGATGAGAAGGGAGCAAATTAACCCTTTGATTTAATGTGTACAGGTAAAATATATAGATAGATAAGAGCAAACGGTGTCAATGATTTTCAAGTTTTATAATTCGCTGCGCGCGCTCAGACGAGAACGATAAAAATTATACTTTATTATCGATTTAGATAATTGGAGCTTTGTATGGTAGTTTTATCAATGAGGTGTCGTCGTCGCTCGTACGTAGAAAATACGAGAGATATTTTATACTCTAAACAGAGACGGAAAAACGAAGAATCAATGCCTCGTGCTGAACGAGTGTACGTGTGTAAGCGAGAGATTACGGGCAGACACATATACAGCACACACGAACGAATGCGGCCGAAGTAGGTGCTCCAATTTCATTAAACAATATGCAAACATATAGACGCGGTGTTCGGAATCGGCGGCCAATAATATGATTCATTAGAATTTCGAGATGGAGACGACGACGCGCCGCTGCTCTGCATTATAAAGCAGAAGAGAGAGAGAGAGACGCCTGAAGTTTTAAAAAAGAAGAATCCATCACGTAACACATGCACACACAGACGACGACGACTTTAAAACGATTGACCTAACCTTATTGGCATGAGAGAGAGAGAGAGAGGAATGAGAGAGACGACGACGGATAGAAGAATATTTTTTTTACTTCGCGAGTGTGACACTTGCACGAGGTAGAAATAATATCACGAGTATCAATTGATTTAACACGGGAAGACGATGTGTGTGTTCAAATGTTGTACCGCCCACTCGTAAAAAAGCCTAATTAATTATCGAGGAGAGATTGTCAATCGAAAAATCACGTGAAGTTCGTGTCACATGATAGCCCGTAATGTGTAAGGTAGCACGAGGAAAAACCAGAAGCAGTAGCAGCAGCTCTCGAACGGTTGAAGCCGAGAGAGAGACAGACATGTACTTTTTTGATTGCATAAAAGGGCTTACATTATATCACGAGCTCTAATGCTTCTTTAGAAGGCGCACACATAACAGAGAAAATTATATTTATTTCGGTTTCTCGCGTACACACGCACACAGACAGCTCGCACAGACACGCGCCGCTCGCGTATGCCAGCTATTTTTACATTGTCAATTCAATGTCAACCCCTCGAGGTAAAGCAAGCACACGTACGAGCATTACGTACGCGTGTAAGCGAGCGTAAAAAGTTTTCAACTTCTCAATGACTATCTCGCATCTGGTCAACGACGATCGTGCGAGGTAACGACAATTCGTTCGGCTTTGACGGTTACGTACGCAGGTGTCAACGCGTTCGAGGCATACGAAAATTCGAAACGAAATTCGAAAGAAGAGAGTAACGTTCGAATTAGAGAAAGTTATTAGAAGGCGCCGTAGCACATTGAGCTCAGCGTGTGTAGCAGCAGCAGCACAGCACAAGGCGTCCGCCATGTTGGACCGCACCGTCATCGATCGCGCGGAGGGCACAGTGGCACGAAGCACGCGTGGCTGCATGCTCGAAGATTATATCTATATCGTGCACTGCTACTACTTTGCCCCTGATGCCTCGAACATTCCATTATTGAGTAAGAACCTTTGAGGATTGACTTTTTCGGAAGATCGACGTTTGAAAAAGTTCGTTAAGCGGCAGTAGAAGTAACGAGTAATCGGCCTGACACGGCTGAATATACGAGCGCGCGCGCGTGTGCTCATTATCATCTAGGTCATAACCGCCCGATGACGACGAGAGGCCATATGACCTTGGCCAGACACGACGATTTCCCTTCGATTTGTCCCATGACTTGGAGAAAGTCGAGTGAAAAGCAAGAGTGGATTCTCTCGCGAAAGCCTCGAGTATTAGACGAGAGGCGCGAGGCAGGAGAGAGACGGCGAGATCGAGATTGAGCAACGGTTATGTAACGGTCTCGACGACGTCCTCGCGCTTTTCCCAACCGTTTTCAGCCTCGCGAATGTTTTCCAGCTACACGTGTCAAGCTGTCACGAGCGAATTTCCAACGACATCGACGTACATTATGCGCACATCATTACAACACGCCCGGGTCGCGGCGGAACGCGCGAGCAAGACAGAGGCGGAGAGAGAGAGAAAGAGGAGACGCGGACACAGCAGCGTGCGTGGCACACACGGACACAGCATACACTCGTGCACGAGGGGCACACCGATGGAACTCGCGAATTCTATCCGTTCGAGGTACTTTAAAATAGCAACGATCGATCATTGACGGTACTTACCCTTGTAACGCTGATCTTCGGGGATTTGCTTGGAGATGTGCTGTACCTGGAGGAGCAGCTTGACGCGCTCGATGGGGGCGACGGCCGTCTTGGAGATGGCTGCCGAGACACCACCGGCGATGAAATCTTTGGCAAAAGCCACGGGATCAGCGAGTCCAGACATTTTGTGTTTGGTTTTTTGAACTTTTACTAGTTTTTTTTAAGACGGGGGTTTGGTTAACAAACGAGAGTTATAAGGAAATTGGAGGTGTTAACTTGGTAGTGACTCCTGATACGGACGCGCGCCGGACGACGAGTGAGAGAGCGACGTATCAAGCTGCGAGAGCTAGGCCCCAGAAGCAGTCCGCTAAGAATAGCCCAGGCGGCTGCGCGCGCGCACCCAAACGAGTGGAAACGAGACGGAGAAACGCCGAGCGGCGCGCGCGCGCGCGCGCGCAACTATCACGTGGTTTTTCCCAACTGTACAGTACTGCACGGCTATAAGCAGCAGCATATACGTGCAGCGCAGTGTTTTAACTATGTATAGTGTCTGCACTATATGTTTTTTGAATCTAGGCACTCGATCCCTTCTTCCATTTTTTCTTCTACTTTCATAATAATGATTAAATGCCAATAAAGTGTCTATAGACGTCGCCGCTACTACTTGTCGTCGTCGTTTGTCTATTGTTTTATATGTATAACAACCGGCCAGTATCGTGATTTTAAATTCAGGCGCTTGGCTATAGATATATGAAACGACAACGATCACCGTTACATCCGGTGCTGTTCCATGTGAGAATATACTTTATAGGGAAATTGAAGCGGCTGAATCTAGTCACTAGCTAGTTATATTTGCTAATCGCTACTAATTTGAATTTGCTGGAGTTGAAAACGTTCAATTTTCGCTGGAGCTTATTTCATCGAGGAGCTTTTACGATAATTGCGCGAAATCGATTTTCGCGCGCGAATCGACGACTCTAATCAAGCTCGCGATGATTTTTTTTTTTTTTGGGTGCAGTCTTGGGCTAAAATAGATCGTGTAGAGTAAAGTCTCGATTCGGAGTTTCGTCGACAACACGACGCGTCGAGAGTTCCATTCACATCGCATTTGCATCTCAAGGTGTCAATGATATATAATTCAAATTTTAGCCGACAAAATCCGTACACATATCAAGACCGACAAATACTCTACGAACGAGGCAAATCGCGACGTGCAAAAGCGGCGTTGCCGGCTCTCTCTCTCTCTCTCGCGGTGCTTCGAATTCTATACTAACTCGGGCAGGCGCGAGAAGGCATGAAAGAGCCTCGTGTATACACGAACAAAATACGAAAAAGCGATGATACAGCATTACATTGAAACTTTTCTGTGGCGGTAGCAGTGGCTGCAGTGCAAACGCGACTCATTCGAGGCGCGGGTCGCTCTCAAAACTCATGGTTGGCGCGTAAAATTCGCGGGCTAAGTCAGGGCCGCTGTACGCGCGTGAGAAATCGCGATCGTGACCGTCGCCGCGATCACCACGGCTGCGGAGTCAGCACCCTATATATTTTTTGTGTATATCTATGATCGAGTCTTTGACAGGTAAAAGCAGCCTCCGCTTATAGACGTCATTTTTCAACTTTTTGTATTACAAATGAGACTCTCGATTTCCATTTGGGAATTGTGAAGATTCGTAAGTTTTCGCTGCTGCACTCACACCGGTGCAATTGCAGTTGCATCGCGTTTGTGTATGTGTTTGTGTGAGGCAGAAATGCACGCAAGCGCGACCCGCTCACAGCTGCTCCGCTGCTGTAATGTAAAGCACAAACTCCGCCGAGCTTGCATGAATGTACCTATATAGATATTTATGCCGCGCGGTGTGCAGCACATTCGCTCTAACTTGCGATCGATGATTAGAGAAAACCCGACAAGACATTCCTCGATGGCCGTCTTTACGTCATCTAAAAACTAAACGTCTTTCACAAATACAAATCCCTGGGTTTATGTATCTGCCCCGCACTTGTTATTCTGAATATACTACTTGAATAATAAAACTAATTTTTTTTTTGCATTTTTACCATTTTTGCGTCCTCTTTTTTTGAGCATTGACTCTCTTCGAAACGACGACGAAAAACTATATAAGCTGCAGTGAGTACGTATCATCGCGTCGTCGATCGATTTACCGTTACGTAACAGATACACATGAAACATATAAGGCACAAGTGCAGCGATCATCTCGCAGCGCCAAGAACTTTTTTTTTATTTTTTACAAGCTCCACTTTAATAATGCTATATATCCTAGACGTAAATACAGGTGAGAAAAAATGATGATATTTTTAGAAAAGTTTTAGAAAATTATGCTGAATGTTAGTATCTCTGTATAGGCATGCACACGGCAATGGCAATAGTTTATAAATAATGCACCGCTAATTTTAGAGAAGGACGAGACGCGATTCTTTTCGCTCTTTCGCGCGTACGCGTTATAAATGAGTCGACGATGATCGAAAGCCCTGTAAAGTCGAAGCATGATCGTTAATTTTTTTTTCTGTACATTCCGCAGATCGAATTTATGTCATTCGACATTTACGAGGAGACGGCCCGATCGATCGAATTGAGACATCGAGCGAATTTGACTCCTCGTGGCGAAAGAGCCAAAAAGCAAAAAAAAACCTCAAGGGATGAGCGCGAAGAAAACATTAGAACCGAGCAAGGTTTATGGGTCAAATAGTTTTCGCGCTGGGCGAAATCAGTAACAAGGCCGCCGCGTCGCTATCTTCTTCTTTTTCTTCTCGTCTTCTCTTATTCTCTAGTCGTTCGTCGTGCATCAAACATATGATGAACGTCTTTTCGACGTCGTGCTTTTTTACCTTGTACTTGTCTTTTATTCTCCTCTAAGCTCTTCTTGCTTTTTTGATAATTGAGTGACGATTAAGCGACGATCGAATAAAAAAATTGTTCATCTCTGTGCAATCTGTATTACTCTCATAATTATTTCGAGATGTCTTTTCTTATCGAGCGTTACATGTTTAAATTTTCATCTTATTATTCATTCATTTTTATTTTCAATTGTTTTTTATATGTTATTTTTCGAGAGCCAAAATAGAAATGCGTAAAAAATGTTCATTCCTCTTAAAAGCACGGTAAAACGCAAGTGAGTAACGAAAATACAGAATACAAGTAACCGTTGTCATAAGCCACTCTTATCAACTTGCTCTCTTTCTCTCTCAAAAAATCTCCTAAAAGAAGGTCACGAGGCCGCTCGACCATACAGCAGTGGCAGCAGCAGCAGCAGTAGCTACATAATAGCGCTCTTGAAGTCTTGGAGCTTGCGCAAGCTCGGCAGACCGTTGGCGGTGGCGCGCGCCAAAGTTCAACGCGACTCGCACGTGGTGCTTCTACGTACATTTCGAATGTAGGGGCCTTCGACTGAGGACTATCAAGTTCAAAACGAATGACAAAAGTACTCGTAGAGGGGCTTTGCTAATTTTTTTTACTTTCGTTCGGTTTGCACGTGGTCGAGAGCCCCCTAAAAACGAAATAAAGGTCCAATGGACACTGTATAAAGAAGAAGAGGAAAGGGGAAAGGGGTGGTGGGGAGTGTAGAAACGACGCCTCGTGCGTTTATACACGAACGTCAAAAAAGCACAACCAAAAACGGATTACATAATTTTGTAAGCTCTCGCTCGTGTACATAGCTTGAACATAAATAGCTCGTCTGTTAAATGACTTTAAATGCAGCTGCTGTCGCGAGTACACACACACACACACGTACACCCATCCGTCAAGCAACAGCTGATTAGCTGCGCAAGTACAAATGACCGCTATACATACACAGAGTACAGACAAGAGTTTTGGTATTTTAAAAATACACATGTCGATTAAAATCGTAAACACATAGCGCGAGAAGCTAATGCTCACGGACTTTCCGCATTGTTATACATGCGCATGGCACGCGTGTATAAGCGCACTCGAGAGAGAGAGAGAGAGTTATATTTTAAAGCTTGGCAGATATACTTATTATTGTCGATATAAGGTTGGTATATACGGCGATGTGAAATTAGCGTCTGCGATTTGATGATAAATAGGAAAAGAGCCGGCTGTATTACAAGTACTTTCGAGGACTGTGCAGCTGCGAGATGATTTTCGAGACTTCTTCGAATATTGATACGTATAAAAAAGGATCATCTTAAATTCGATCATCACCAATATTAGTGTAGAATTATAATCAATGAAACGCCATATGCGAAATTTGGATAAACTCGCATCCATATGCACTTTATGTCGTATACGGTTCAATGACCTCAGCATCGGCAGCATCAGCTCGCGTACATATCATAAGCACGTGTGCGTCTCGTGCGTGCGCGACTTCGTCACGCGAACGGCATTTTAATAAGGTGCCGAGGAGTGGACGCGATCAATGGAGCAATGCCCCATTAATATATAAAAGGCTCGACGAACTTCCAATTCGTTTCCACAATCGTATTTTAATTTTGTCGGTATAATATCGTTTTCTCATCCATTATTCCAATGAAAATTGGATAGTACCTATTTTTGGAAGAGCTGAAATTTTCATCGCGTCGCCAGCAATTAACCGACAAAAATTAAACGTACTTTAAATACCTATACACACAGACATCGATTTCGCACACTTGGTTATTTCGCCCGTGTATCGCGATGCGTGGCGCCATCGCTGGTGCACTCGCGCAAGTTCTCAAGCTCTCTGCTCAAGCTTTGAAATGGCGAATTTACAATAACTGACGTATCGAGCCCCGAGTCGGTGCGGTTCTTAATGCATATAAACTCGCCTATGCGCTGTCAACGGATTACCGGGGAGCAGCCGAGCAGCAAAACTCCGAATTGCGATATGTACCTCGTGCCTTACTTATTACACGTATCGACTGCTCCTGCCGCCTACTACGAACACAACAATAACAAAGAACAATGCGTGCAAAATCTTGAATGACGCTCCGATCGTTGCGATACGTATCTTATACTCGTACATTATTATTATCATCGTTAAAGACCGTGCCCCAGCTGCTGTACTGTACGCTCGGTACGCTCGACAAATAAAACCCAAGACCCGCGCGCGTACTTGTGTATACGATGATCTATATATAGGTATATTATATGCAAGTAAAGTTATAATATGACTCAGCCGCTATAAGCCGCCTAAGTCTCGCGCGCTACACATCATGCGTCTATGTGCATATATATGTGTTTGTGTGCAGTAGCGGTAAATGCTCTTGATTAAGGCGTACGCACACATTGCGAAAATTGTCGCGTACTTATTGCTATCTAAACGTACGTGTGTGCGTGCCTGAGTTTCTGCACCTCGTACACGCGCGATTTCGGAGTTTTGGCTCGTCTCTCGGCACGACCGCGAGATAAAGAGAGAGAGAGAGATAGACGTATTTCGCAAAAAAGAAGAGAAATCATTCGCGGAATTTCGGAGGTCAGCTTTGCGGCTGGAGCCTAGTTCAATTCAATGTGATCCAATGTAAAGCGACCAACAGTCATCGACCGTTGCTCCGACCGAGAGCTCAGCTCCTATTTTTTATGGGTACAAAATGTAATATTTAACCTCCAAATTTGCGCACACGACTCTTTGTTCGAATTTTTGACGTTAACCATAGCCTGCATTCATCCGTCATCGGCACACACGCACGACAGACGACGCAGCAGCACGATTCTATCGTTCCGGAGAGAAAGAGAGAGAGCTTTAATATTTACGTCGCTCGACGTATCACGTCGACATATACATGACAATTCAGTGCTTTTATCGTTTATATACGCACACATAAAGGAGAGCACCGATTCGAATTTAACGTTCGATTGTGTGATCTTATGGAATGAAAAACATCGCGACTCGAAGATGTGAGTGGGGATCTTCGACTCGGCGCTCGGATGAGCGAATATTTACCAACTTATATTATAACGTTGTTGAATCTGTGTGTTGCTGGTTTTTTTTTTGTTATTTTGCTCCAATGATCGACTGGTGACTCGTCGTCGTCGTTGTGTATACAACAACATATTCGTTATAGACCGTGTGCGTGTGTGCCTATGGCCTCATATAACTGTAATTCGAGATACTTTCGCGCTGACACTTACAGAGCCGCGAGCGTTAACGTCAAAAGTTCGCGATTGACATTCGGTTGGGCTTTTCATGGGCCGGCTCTCGTTTAACCCTTCGATCCTGCGAAGTTTACGTTTTTGATAGTGGAAAAAGTGAACTTTTTGATTTTTAAAATTCTATAAGTCAGAGAAAAACGTGTGCTTGGACGTTATTTTTTACGTTTGTTTAGGGGATTATTTTGCAAACGGTTTCTGCTGAAGCTAATCCTTGTGTAATTTTTTAAATTTCTTTTATTGATTATGACGATACGTGATTGAATCGATTTTAAAAAATTAGAGATTCCGTGTATGAAAGTCATCATTTGACAGTGTCTATGAAAACAAATCAAATATTTGTTATGACAGCTCAGTTTTTTCATGTGTTCATAATGCTAAAAAATGTGTACTATTCAATCAGATATACCATTTGAAATCATTTATCATAGTTCAAAGCCTCACCATCATTATAAATTTTAACTCTTAACTCTTTGGTGAAATCAAATTCTAAGAAAAATAAATGTATGTTACAGAAATGGCATGACAGTTTAGATGAGAAATGTTGCCTGACACAGAGGCAAACATTGAAAATATGGCTGAAGGTTTGTAAACCTTTTGTTTAGTAGTTGATTTTTTAATTTAATTGGTGCAGTCCTAAGAGTTTGTCTATGTTTTTTTAGGAGATGACAATCAACCTGCTATTGATGGAGGAGTTGCAAATGGTATGTTTTTTCTCTAATTTAAATATAGTTATCATTGTTTTGTACACAACATTACAGTTTTATCATATTTTCATAAAACATCTTTTCATGATTACTTTTCTTCCATATTGAAAAAAGTTGCATGAATTTCATATCCCTTTATCTTTGAATATATCTATCTATTGTATATCTTACTAGATATATACTGTAGCATACGGTCAAAGTCAGGTACTAACTTAATGTAATTAAGTTAAGGCCTATTGCAGGCAACTGTTCGCTACAAAATGGGGCTTCATTTCTTAGTTCGCTCTATTGTGTAGAATTTAAAAGTGTCAATTCTTTACTTTTTTTTACCAGTTTATTCCTTTTGTTGCTATAAAATTTTTTAAATTTATGTTTTACAACCTTCTCCACATTTTTTACCAACTACTACAAGATAATTAACTACTTCTAATCATCCCATGTGACTACAGAATCTGCTGATTCAAGAGTAGCTCAAGGTGAAGGTCTCGATGAAGGAACTACAGAGTCAAGTAGTTTCTTGGGGCCATGTCAAGAACTGTTATTGACTCATGGTTTGGGTCTAGGTGAAGGCAGTGATGGAGCTAGTGTTCATACTTCTAGCACCATTGCATCAGGTCATGGTGTGTATAACATCATAAGCTAAGGAATTATAAAATAGCTTTTAAATGAAAAAAAAGATTATGAATAAATTTTAATAGATAAAATACTTTTTCAAAATTGTTAGTTAAAAATTATATCTATTTTATTTTTTGCCTAAGAGTATAGATTAAAATATTAGTATGATAAACCAAATGGCTTTTTATGAGTCATCTGCGCATATAGATACATTGTCTTTGCATGTTAACAATAAAAAGTATCAGAAAGAATAGAACTACTTCAAACTATGTCGTAATACTGATAAAAACTTCAAATATTGAGATAATCATTCAATAATCTAATCATTATCAAATGAAAAAAATTATATAGATACATCCTTCTTAGGTAATATAATTGCAATAAATTATCATGTAACAGCAGTCTTGAAAGCATTTTAGAAATATCATCGCATATAAAAAAAATTGAATTTAAAATATTATGAAAATATTTTTGTTTACGACTTGAAATTTTTTCAGAATCCAATTCTAGTAGAGTCAGCATAATAACAACTGTGCTTCCTTGGGGTGCTCAAAAAGAAACAATAAAACCTCAACAAGTTGAAGAAATGGATTTACGACCAGGAGAGTATGTGATGAGATCACTTTTTGCAGATTTTACAACTCAGGCAGAGAAAAAAATGGAGGCTGTTATGACTGAAGTGGTTAGTTTACTTACAATCAATTTATTAAATTTTTTTATTATTACTTCATAATGTAATATAATTTTCAGGAAAAACCTCTCTCAAAAGTATTACAAAGAGGTGAAGATACTCAATTCGACCAGTTGCTATCAGCTTTTGGAACTGTTGCTGAACATTGTCTACCCTCTATATTACGTGCTCTCTTTAATTGGTATGAACGTCAACTCGCAGACCATGGAATTGATCAGAAGAAACTTGGTGTTGTAAAAGAAGATCAGAGAGGAAAAGGAATAATGTATACAATTGTGTCAGGAAATGTAGAACCAGTAGAAAAAAGTGAATCAGATCTACTTCAAGAAAGAAGAGATATGGCTGTGGAATTTATATTTTGTTTAGTATTAATTGAAGTTTTGAAGCAGTTACCTTTTCATCCAGGACATGAAGATTTAGTTACCTACATCGAAAACATTTCTTTTAAGCATTTTAAATATAGAGAAGGGATTCAAAATGAACCAAATGCAGCAAACATCCATATTATAGCAGATTTATATGCTGAAGTAATTGGTGTTCTTGCTCAATCTAGGTTCATGTCTGTTCGTAAACGTTTCATGGTAGAACTTAAAGAATTACGAGCTAAAGAGCCAGGACCACATACCACTCAGAGCATAATTTCGTTACTCATGGGTATGAAATTCTTCAGAGTTAAGGTATTTATTTATTTTTTTGAAAAAGAACTACAAATATTTAATAACTTCATAAAAGCTACAAAATTAATTTCGAAAACAATTTTTTCTCAGATGGTACCTATTGAAGAATTTGAAGCATCTTTTCAATTTATGCAAGAATGTGCTCAGTATTTTTTAGAAGTCAAGGATAAAGATGTAAAGCATGCCCTTGCAGGATTATTCGTTGAAATCTTAGTGCCAGTTGCAGCTGTACGTAACAAACTCTTATATTTCCATTATACCAAGATAATAAATTAATTTTATTTGTATAGGCTGTAAAGAATGAAGTCAATGTTCCTTGTCTGAAAAATTTCGTTGAAATGTTGTACTCTACTACATTGGATATGTGCACGAAAAACAAGCATCGTCTTGCTATCTTTCCTCTAGTTACTTGTTTACTTTGTGTCAGTCAAAAGACATTTTTCTTACAATCCTGGCATACCTTTTTAGCGATGTGTCTATCTCATTTGAAAAATCGCGACCCAAAAATGTGTCGAGTCGCTCTTGGTGTGTATTAATTTTCATTATTTTTTTTTTTTTTATAATAGCAGCAAAAAACTCATTAAGATTTTGAATATTTTAGAGGCGTTATATCGACTACTGTGGGTTTATATGATTCGAATCAAGTGCGAAAGCAATTCTGCCACGCAAAGCCGTCTGCAAAGTATCGTCAATTCACTCTTTCCGAAGGGCTCCAAAGCGGTTGTGCCGCGTGACACGCCGCTCAACATATTCGTCAAAATCATACAATTCATAGCCCAAGAAAGATTAGATTTTGCTATGCGCGAAATCGTTTTCGATCTTCTGTCTGTTGGCAGGGCGTTCAAAATCATTTTGACACCGGAGCGCATGAGCATCGGCTTGCGAGCTTTTCTCGTCGTCGCCGACAGTCTTCAGCAGAAAGAGGGCGAACCACCGATGCCCAGGACAATGGGTGTATTGCCCAGTGGTAATACGATGCGCGTTAAAAAGACGTATCTTAACAAAGTAGGTCAATTTTGATTTCTCATCTTGACTTTTTAATATCTGGCAATCTTTATTAAAAACATTTTTTAATTATTTTAGATGTTGACCGAAGATACAGCCCGAAGTATTGGCATATCATCCTACTACCCACATGTGCGTCGGGTCTTCGTGGATATCTTACGAGCCCTCGACACGCATTACGGTCGCCCGTTGATGATGACCAATACGCAAAATTTGAACAAAGAACCGGACGAGATGCTCTCTGGCGAACGCAAGCCTCGTATCGATCTGTTTCGTACTTGCGTGGCAGCGGTTCCTCGACTTATACCCGATGGCATGACCGGTGCCGAGTTGGTCGACATGCTGGCACGACTCACGGTTCACGTCGACGAAGAACTCCGGGCTCTGGCCTACCAGAGCTTGCAGACTCTCGTACTCGATTTCCCAGACTGGCGCCAGGACGTGATACTCGGATTTACGCAGTTTCTCGTTCGCGACGTGCAGGATACATTTAGTCAGTTACTGGACAACGGCCTGCGAATGCTTTTGCAGCTGCTCACCTGTTGGCGAAACGCTCTTGCCAATCCTAGCGCAAAGGCCAAGGAGCAGCAAGTGGATCCTCGTTTGGTTGGTCGAGGCGGTATGAACGACACCAGCGCGATGAACGGCCCCGGACACAAACGGCCCGACGGTCAGAAAGTCGAGCCGATAACGGGCGTGTTTCATCTAGTCGAAGGCTTTGCTCTAGTTATGTTGTGCAATTGTCGACTTTATCCGCGCAGACTGTCCGTCCACATTTTACGAGAAATCAAACTACTGCTCAAGACTTTCGGTAAGAATAAGCTTGTGATTGATACGATTGAGCTTTAGTACAGATGCTGACTAAAAATTTGTAATTGCAGCTAGCTTGGAAGACGATCAGCCAGTGATCGACGTGATCGATGCATGTTGTCCTGAAGTCCTGGAAAAATATAATCACATGCTATCACCGGCAGAAAGAGCTGCGGCCGCGTCGACGCCCAATGTCGATTTACAATGGATCGCCGACCGAAGTAGCTGCGTATGGACGGCCGGTAAATTCAATAAAACTGAAATGATTTCAAATGTTCGAGTGATTTAAATCATATCTCTTGCTTCAGGATTTCACGATGAAAATAGTACAAAAAGCTCGTCTTTGTTGAATCTAAACGGAACCGATCCTTGGAGTAGTTGTTTGTTTGCATTTTTGGAGAAAGATAGAGTATTGACTCTTTGTCCGAATGCGATCCAACACTCCTGGCCAATTGTATTCAACAGAATCAACTCTCTAGTGACTGTAGTTGATCCTACGTAAGTAACTAATTACGATTCACTCATTTAATTTGTTTAATCAACGTGTTGTAATTAAACATTTTTTATGATCCCGCAGACCCGTTAATGATAATAGAGCCTCGCTCCTGCGCAGCTCGACGGCGCCTCGCAAGCCTGTGAACGAGAGAGACGTTTACATGCACGTCTGGAAGAATTATCTGACCTTCGGTTTCCGAGTTGTACCTGCGATTCCAAGTCCGGTTATACGTTGCGCTAGCCCAGATCTCAGTCTAAGGTAAGTCGTGTAATTCGTATGCACTGCATGTGTTATATGTAAAGAAATATATTTATATACATACACGTAGTAGGGGCAATGTGATAAATGTCTTTCTTTTTATTATTACAATAAAATTATGAGCTCTGTCATTATGAAATGTAATTTTACATATTTCAATTTTTAAATTAATTAATTCTTTTTTATCAAATATATTTTACATGTTGTTGATAATTTGAAACTAAAAAACGATTTGAAACATTGACCAAACGCTACAATGCGATTCACGACCATTGATACTGTAGATGTTTTTTTGTAGAATAAGCATGGTATATAATCCATTATACAAAATATCGATAAGTAACAATGAAAATCTTTTTTGGTCCTGATTGCGTAGTAATTTCTTTTTTGCAAATGCATGGTTTTTTTCTATATCTTAGCTGCTTTCTAATATTTTTAAAATTTTAACCCGAAAAATTAATAATTTGAATAATTTCAATTATTTTAAACACTAATGAGATTTTACTATTGATACTCTAACATTCCGTGTACGAAACACGATTTTTTAAAACTTTTTAGTGTTATAAAAACCTTGTTTCTCGGACGAAATGTTAAAAAATTTAGCATGCAACTGGTGCGCGAGGAACTCCGCGTATTTTTTACATAATATCATATTAACTATAAAAATTAAAAATTAAAATTTTAACCATGATACAAAATGAAAAATTTACTTTAATGGGTTAAGGTGGGGTAACTGATATTCATTAATCGTGTGTTTAGTTAAAACTAACTGCGACATGATAATAGGTAAACATGCTAGTTACCGGACACTTGAGGAAATTTTTAACTTTGTTCGATAGAGGTTGTTTTTCATAGTACTCTTAATTATTTAAGAATATGAAAGTTGCAAGAAAATATTCTTAGCTTTAAAATGAACATAATTGTTAAGATTTTTGCAGCAGCGCGATTCTAGGAAAAAATCTCTGATTTTCCTCTTATTTACAATAAATGTTGAATAATTTATGAAATATTCCAATTCAATTGAATGCATTTAAAATTTCACATTTATTGTATTTTCTTGGTTGAAATCAAAGTGGATTTGTTCGACTGTGAAAATCAGCCTCGACTTTGACAAAGGAAATCCAATCAATGATTTCCTGGAATTTTGAATTCATTACATGATTTTCTCTTTACCTCAAAAGCAAGCGTTGAATCGGGCCTTGTGTGGCATACAAATTTGGATAATTTTCAATTCCTTGGGTTATAAAACGTAGATTTCAGCATATTTATAATTCTTAGCAGCTTTTCTTAGCGGTTACGCGTACGACTTTATCGCAATTGTTTTTCTTTTCCATTTTTTCAATTTCAGCATCTGGGATACAAATAAATAAATAAACTATTTCAACTCATTATTATTAACTACAAAAAGTTCTAACAACTTTGATACGACTTCAACATTAATGTACTTTTTACAATTAAAGTAAACTGGCAGACTCGTATAATCCGTTAATCGGCTTGATTCGAATTTCTCGTCCACTGCATAAAATTTGAAACTTCAAAAATTAGAACCCGGATTATTCAGCTGATGAAGTATTTTATTTACAATGTAAAATAAGTATTAAATAGCTTAGTCAAGAACCGAAGGAGAAAAACAATAATCTTTGCCCGGATATTAGAAAAAAAATAAGAAATTAGTAAAAATAAATAATAATAATGAGTTTGTAAAGAAAATCAGATGTAGTTAATATTACTCGATCCATTGATATTTTAATTTATGCTTTAATCCGCTGCGCAATACCGTACGTAATTTTAATTTAGAACTTAAGCGTTCTGCAATTGGCATGTTCACCCTTGTATACTTTTTTTTTAATTTTTTATAGTACATTCAAGTTTGTCAATGTCAATATCACGATTATATACGTACAAAATACCGTACGTTCAATTAAAAACGCAGTCGTAGCAAAAAAATGTTACATTCATACAGAAAAATTTCAAACATTCATAAATCGATGGAAATTAGACATAACTCACCACCATCATAGTGGTAAAATTTAAATTAAAAAATGTTTCGTAAAAATAAAAACATTGAAACAATATAGCGGTCAGCATACGGTGGATTTTGGTATTACATGCATGAGTAAGGAGTTGAGTCAAAGCCTGGAGAATCTCGGCGGGGCCCAGACCCTGCCGGGCCGTTTTTCCGTGCCGTCCATATCTGGCATCTACACCAGGCATAAGAGAACCAGGTGAGCTATGAAAAAAAGCAAAAAGCAAAAAAAAAGATACAAAAGCAACTTGTTGAGACAACAAAAAAAAAACAACCGCAAAAAAACAGTGTACTGTCGTACTTCACGCGCGCACTCTTGCTCTGTTTACACAGAGCTATAGCTTGTGGTTGTTGGGATTAAATAACTGATAGCAATGTACAAACGAGAAATGATCGATAATACGTTTTGTTTGAGTAAACTTATATCATCTCTGTACTAACATTACGCTTGAACTAACTTTCTAATTAATTCAGCTTGGTCCACACGCATGAAAAATATTTTCCTCACTCTTTTAGTTTATTCATATTTTCTAAAACGCTTTTTTTAATTAAAACAATAGAATCTTAATTCCTAGAAGACTCTGTAAGTAAAGCATTTGTGTCTCATAATGCATTCATTTAAAATTTTTTTTTGTACGTTTATTATTTTTAGATCTTTGAAGGTTGCATGGTGAAAAAAATATTTGTCATCGTAGCGTAGCTATTATGTTAATGTAAGCACACTGTGTATTAAAATGTATTAGTGAGTGTGTACTGCGTGTTAACTGTTGTCGTTGCAATAATTTTGATTGAGTTTCAATCGCAGGTACATAAAAGACGAGGTTGTCGTTTTTTTTTTTTGATTTGTATCCTATACCATTTCACAGTACTACACTCTTAGTTTTTCAATTAAATACCTATTCGCATGTAACTTTGTATGTACATAATGGAATTCGAAAGAACTATTTGCCTCTTATAGCATATTCTATAAAGGGTGTACTTGCGAATGTATCATGTGCAGAGAGACCAAATTACTTTTTTGTTAAAACAAAAGTTGGAACGTAAGCGAGTTCAAGTGGACGGAGAGGTGTTACACACACAAGAAGGGACAATAATATTTATTTCTATTCTCTCGTCCTGTCGCTCGTTATATTAACGGCTAGAGATTTTTACGTTGAAAATACATTTCCACGCACTGCCTCTGTATATTCAGTATAAATAGATAAACACCCCTCAATATCTAAAAAAGGACGCACACTCGCAGAAAACCACACATCGTAATAATAATTGTGTATAATACATCAATCTCTCTGAGCCAATAAAAGTATTATACTTACACGATATCGATTGTTGTCGTTAACACTCTCGGATACGTTTCGTTTATTTATTATTTTTTGTCATTTTTCTTAACAGTTCCTCACCGGACAGCCTGTCTGCCGAGCGGGGCGACAACAAGTCACCCGGGACCAACGCCAGCCCCACAGCTCTGTACAAGCTGACGGTGCAGCTGCTTAAATGCGAGACCATCGACGTACGAGATGCCGCCGTGAACGCCATCGGGAAAGTGAATTCCGATGCCTTGAAGTGAGTTTGTTGTTCGATTTTTTAACTGTCAAAAGAATGTATGTAAGAAATCTTGTATTTTTATATACTTTAATGTAGAGATCTGATGGAGGAGCTCGTGCCGTACATCAGAGAGGCCGTCGACAGGAAGCAGGAAAATATGCGCCGGCGAAGGAGACGCGACGCGCTGCGATTACAATTGGTCCGCGTGCTCGAGCTCATAGCCGAGTACGGCACGTTCGGAATTTGGTAAGTTTTTCCGCCGATCCCCTCGCGCTACACGATAAAAACTCATTACCTTTCTCTCTCTATGTAAAGTCTTGCGAAAATTTAATATATATAGAGAGAGAGAGATGGGTAACTTAATGAAAGAATCCTTTTTTTTCTATTATCCTGCATTTTTTCTTCTTCCTCTGCAGCCCAGCGGTGCTCGATCGTGAAACACAATCGCTGCATCCGACCTTCGTCGAGTACATCGACGGCGCCCGGCTGTATCTGGAAAACGAATCGGACAAAGAAGCGCCGGCCGTGCGCGATATTAAGTTGCATTTTTGCAATTTTATCAGCAAAATGCTCAAAAGTTTTTCATGTAAGTTTGATACAATTTGGCCTCCTCGTCTTTTTTTTCGTGTTCTTCTTCCGAAGTTATTTCAATAATTAAAGTCATCTATTCGAAAGATAAAACCCCTCTGTATTGGCTTTTTTTTAGAGAATGTTTGATCAGTTAACAGCTATCGGCATAATATTTGAATTTCAAACGGGGGAGGAAAAAAATTATGTGTATGTAAAGCTTAACTTTTAATTAGCCATTTCCAGCGAAACGAATTATAAAAGCTTTCGCGAAATCACCACAAACGAAGTATCGCTTGTGCGATGTATTTTTGCTGTCGCGCAATAAAAAAAAGAAAATTCTTTGCGATCTCCGGGCTTTTTACCGTCTCGCGTATTAAACTTATAAATCGCAAACGACTCATTAATCGATATCGACGTTTGACCCTTCGCAATTTTTTCCCCCTTTTCTTACCAGTGGAAACTTGTCACGCGTTGCTGAAACGCGACCTGCGACGGAATCTGTTCGCTCTGTTCGCCACCTGGGCCGGCCCGTACGGCAAACCCCTGACCAACGTCAATCTCTCCAGCGAGGAGGAGAAGAAGTGCACCGAATTGCAACTTTCGGCTCTGCAAGCCATGAGCGGCTTGCTCTGCTGCGGTGCCTGCTTCAATCCGCCGAGCCTGTCCGAGGAGGGCTCGATACTCTATCAGTGGCTGGATCTGTTGCTCGCGAGCAAGGACGAGAAGATATACACGCTGGCGAGGGAGACGGTGGTGCTGTTGCTCGAGGGCAATTCGGACATAGGCGCGCTTCTCGACTGGGTGGTCGACCGTTGCTACACCGGATCGCCCCAGGTCGCCGACGGATGCTTCCTAGCGCTCGCCACTATCTTCAGCGCTCGGTAAGCGAAGATATTTTTTATAAAAGATTATTACGCATTCATTGATTTACGTCATGTTTTTCTTTTTTTTTCTCTCTACAGCGAATATCCGTGCGACCATTACACGAGCATAATCAACGTGACCCTCATGAATACGGGATGCCCGAGAGCAGCCGTGCAGGATGCGGCTCTTCAACTGTTGCAGCTTCTCGATCAGCGCTTCTTCGGCAACGTTCGATCTTTACCCGCTTCCGATGCAGATATCGGTGAGTACACGTAAAATAATTAACTCGATACTTTGATTGTATGTATTTTCGAAGTTACGAATGTAAACGAAACACAATTCGGCAAAGAAAGTAAAAAGTTAACGTAACTTTAATTGCAACAATAACAAGAAAAGTTACGAGAAAAAATTCGAAGTTGCAAGAAACTGTAATGAAAAATAAGCAGAGGCAACAATCGATCTTCATTAAAAACAAGCGATATTTCGCGTTCGCTTGGCTTTCCTTCGGCTCGAGTCCTAATTGCGGATGGTGTATCAATTTTTTTTTATATGACTTGAAGAGTAGATTATTTCAAAGCCTCTTATAGTAAAATGAGCATGTGAAACTGAGAGTTTGATAAAAATGTAATAAAAATTTTGAGTAGAGTGTACATCTCTGTAACAACTTGAAAATAATAACAGTATTTACAAGGATTATTTAGATACTACAGTACAGAATATTTTAGTAACGTTCAATCATCCTATCAAGTTAAGCTCTGCAGTAGACATATTTGCTCTACATCAAATTTGACATGCAATAAAATACTTCAAGTTCTCATAAAAAACTAACAATCGACCTTTCGACAAACGGGTTTAGTTTTTACTTTGAAATAAAGGAGGTTTTTGCGCAAAATCGGTTCCTATCGTAAAATCGGGTGTAGTGCATATGCACTGCGTATACCCCCAGGTTTCCCTTGCCCCACAGGTCCTCGGGTCTGGGCAAATGTGAGACAGTGTAGAGGGGGAGGGGGGGGGGGG